CATCTTCCGCTATGCACTATAGTAGCTTCCACTTTGCAAAGAGGTTTCATATAAATATCTCATTTTGTGTTCACAAATACCCTTAGCAGTGGTCAAAACTATTACAAATCCAATTTTGCAATTGAGAAAGTGAAACTGATAGAAGTTAAGTCAATTATCCACGACAACACCAATGAAAAGTTATTGAACCAGTATTAGGCCCAAGTCTCCTGGCTCTGAGCTTAGTTCTCTTCCCAGTTACTTTTGAATTTAAACAGTGGGTCAGTCTGGTACAGCTTAAAATGTCTTGAGAACTCAGCTCTGGTGAAAACATGTTATCAGGGGTCTTCCTAATATAATGGTCTCATTTTATATTTGTGTAGAGCCACAAGGAAGTTGAAGGATTGGGACTGTGATCTTTGGCACTCATTTCTGCTCCAGTTACATATTTTAAGGGCTCAGAAAGACTTTCCCATTCACAGAATCCAGCCCCCAAAAATGGTGTAGTATACTCAGCACTGCCGGTCATTTGGAAGTCTCTGAAGCTGTACTTCTTCAAGCTTTAGACAACCACTCAGCAAAAAGTCACTAGATTCTTAATCCTTAGATGCTTCCTAAGAGTTCAACTGGCTCTTTAGAATCAGTCACAAAATCAAGGACACATGTCCTTAAAGAAATGAAAGCCAAAACACTTTCAGCTTTGCCAAGGCAAGATTTCACTGAAGTGTTTCTCAAACAGAGGTTGATATTTAGCATTCTCAAGTGAGCTGTTAAGCTCTGGCACAACAGAAGATGTAACTTAGTGACTGGTGATAGGAGACTCCACCCATCTAGGTCCCTCTGTTCTCTCCCTATTCTGTATTTTGACAAAATGGCCTGTTAGTGACTTTTCAGCGGGTCAATATGTGAGTTGGTGGTCTCTCACAAACTCCAAAGAGTCATGAAGAGAGGAAACAAATCTCAAAGGGGAAATTAGGTAATGGAGTAGAAAGGGATAAATAAGCACCAGAAAACCTGGCTCACCTCTTATCTTGCTTAACCTCCCTATGCCTCAGTTTCCTTAACTATATAATGGAGAAACATGAATACTTCCCCTCACCCCCAACATCACAGAGTTATAAAAATCAAATGAGACATCTGTGAAAATACCTGTAAACTGTTAACAGATTGCTTTTATTTTATTTTTTGCTTTGCTTTTGAAGATCTTTAGTTTCATGATTCAAACAATATATTGTTAAGAATCTGTCACTAATGTTGAAATCCAAAAGTTATATAGGAAAAATATATTAAAATAAAAACAGGGCTTGTGCGGTGGCTCATGCGTAATACTTTGGGAGGCCCAGACAGGCAGATCACAAGGTTAGGAGTTTGAGTCCAGACTGGCCAGTATGGTGAAACCCCATATCTACTAAAAAATACCAAAATTAGCTGGGTGTGGTGGTGGCACATGCCTGTAGTCCCAGCTACTCAGGAGGCTGAGGCAGAAGAATCACTTGAACCTGGGAGGTGGAGGTTTGCGGTGAGCCAAGATCATGCCACTGCACTCCAGCTTGGACAACAGAGTGAAACTCTGTCTCTAAACAAACAAACAAACAGAAAAAGAGATGGGTAATGAGCACTATAAAGTGTTTTTATTTTTTATATGCTGGGGGGTTGAGCACATACATACCAGTTGTTTGTTGTGAGTTAATTTTTATGGTTACATTGTTTAAAAATTTTTGACAGAGCTTTCAAATTCTCATTTGAGTAGGTTTATTAGAACTCATGAAAATGTATTGTAATTCTTTATATTATATAATTATCTCAGAATACTCTCTAATATTTGGGGGCTAATTAGATTGATATAAGACTCTGAACTTAAATAATTGTCAAACCTGGGAACTAAGATATTTTGAGGTTCTGAAGTTAAATATAGTACCCATTTTTAATGCTTGAACTTATCCTGTGTTATTACAAATAGCACCTGGTGGCAGGATGTGATTTTTTAGCCCAGCTCTTATGAATCATTTTCCAAGTTTTTAAAAAATAACCTTTTTATTTTAGAGCAGTTTTAGATTTACAGTAAAATTGCAAGGATAATTGTACACAGAGTTCTCATAAACCTCATGCCCAGCTTCCCCTATTGTTAACATCTCACATGAGTGTGGTACACTTGTCACAATTAAGGGGACAATATTGATACATGATTATTAACTAAAGTCAATGCTTTGCTTAATATTTCATTCAGATTTCCTTAGTTTTTACCTCATGTCCTTTTCCAGTTCCAAGATCCCATCCAGGACGTCACATTACATTTCATCATCATGTCTCCTTAAGCTCCTCTCGGCTGTGACAGTTTCTCAGACTTTCCTTGTTTTTGATGACCTTGATTAACACTTTAGAAGAATGCTTATCAGATATTTTATAGAATATCCCTCAGCTGGGATTTGTCTGGTGTTTTTCTCATGATTAGACTCATAAGTTTCTGGGAGGAGACTCTTACAGACACTTCAATTTACTTGATTTTGAGGATGTTACAGTGGAAAGTAGAAAATTCTCTGGCATAAAAAGAAAGCCTCTTGGCCTGAAGCAGTGTGGTCTGCAGTGAATATCTCACAACTGGAAAAGTGCTGCAAATACAAAGAGAATCTTCCAGCAAAGTCTTTTCTCCCAATAGGCTTAACTAACCCTAGCATGTCACAGGTTGTCATAAATCTATTCTCTCTCTTAAATCCTTCCTTTCTGAAGGCTTTCAACACAATTTCCTATAGAAGTTTTTCTGTAGGAGAAATACTTCCAGTTTTAAAATATAATTTAATGAGAAAATGGCACTTATTTTATAGAAATCTCTTTATAGGCAATATTTCTGAACTATGTTAGATATCTGAAATCTCCCATATTATCCCAAACTTAAGTGCATGAATAAGAATATGGGATTTATTAGCCAAAAGATCACTTGAAATTCTGCTGCTGAAAAACATTCCTTCACTAGGAGAAGAGTCAAATTAATGGAATCTCTCCCACATCAACCACTTAGGATCCTGTTTTAAAATGGTGTTACAACTATAGTATCTAGCCCTAAGTCATGCTAGGACAGGCTGATACTACAGCTTAGGAGAACCAAGTTTGAATCTGAATCTAAGAAACTGGTGGAATACTGAAATGTTCCTCCCAAGAATTTAACTAGCTTATTCCATTTTCAACAAAAGCTATGCTATTAGTAGAAATAAAAAGGAGAATAATTTTCCAAATACAGGGGGCCAAGTGCAGCGGTTCAGGCCTATAATCCCAACACTTTGGGAGGCCAAGGAAGGAGGGGAATCACTTGAGGTCTGGAGTTTGAGACGAGACTGAGCAACATAGTGTGACCCTGTTTTTACCAAAAAAAAAAAAAAAAAAAAAAAAAGTTAGCTGGGCATTGGTGGCATGTCCCTGTCATCCCAGCTACTTAGGATGCTGAGGTAAAAGGATTTCTTGAGCCCAGGAGTTCAAGGCTGCAGTGAGATGTGATCACTCCACTATACTCCAGCCTTGGCACCAGAGTGAGACCATGTTTTCTAAAAAAAATAAATAAAAATACATTTAAAAGAAAAAATGTAAACATTATATGATATACATATGTATGGTTTTGTCTACAATTTAGTTTTTATAGTTGATGAAGATGCCTTGATGTATGAGTATTTACTCAATCCCTTTATAATCCTACTGTAATCTTTATAATTATTCTGTTCTATGAAGATATAACAATAACAGCTCACATTTATTTACACCTATCTGTGCTCTACATACATTATCTATTTAATCCTGTCTGTTGTAGATATTCACTGTCTTCTACAAGGGAAGAAATTGCAACTTATGGAAATTAGATAACTTGCTTAAAGATACACAGTTAAAATCATGATTTGAACTCAAGACTAAGCTAAGCCCATCAGAATCTCAGCTCCTAATAACTGGGTAAATGACCTTTGTGTTAATATGTTTATTTTAAAATGCCTTCTGTGAGAGCAATGACCATATCTTTTCTTTTCTTAATTGTTGGAGTCTCACATTTAATTTCCATCCATACGGCACCATATTTAATAATAGCTGGAAAGAAGGAAGAGGATGTTTTATTATTGCTGATTACCACTGTGACACACACAAAAATCAAATTTCTTACCCTAATTGACCCAGAGACCAACAGTGAGATAAGGCAAGGCCAGCCGTTCAGCATCCCTGTTACCCGGAACTGCAGTGATGGTGGCTTGGAGCTCCATTTTCTAAGAAACAGCTTATTAATAGAAAATCTGAGGCATAAGACCAGCAGATGAGGAGATAACTGCCCTCCAAGAGACAGTTTGTTATACACAGCTCAAAAGAAAAGAGGGCATGCCATGGCGGAGGGACTCACCTGGGAAGGCCCTAGGATCAGTTGGGAGATTGAAGGAGAAGGAGGAACTGAGGAACTGTGGGCAAGAGCCTTGATTGCGGTAATCTGAGAGAAGGAATAGGAGAGGCAGAGTAAGCAGGCTTAGGATTGGCTAGTTTGATTCATTTCAGTGAGCTCTGTGGTATAGGAGTTTCCATCTTTAAAGGGGGCATATCATACCCACACAGAAAGTTTAGTGTCCATCAAGCATTACAAAGCAGAATTGCAACTATTTCGCTAAATCCATTTCATCAGCAGGCTACATTCTGTACACAAGCGTATATGTGTATACAATACACACATACAAACACACACACACACACACACACACACACGCACACACAGAGGACAATTTGCCTAAATGTGAGCTCAGCATCAGATACCAGCCCCCACAACTCCTCCACATACCACACCACACATTCTCGAGAGTCTATGTTTAGTGGGCCCAAGGTGACATGGCCCTTTTGATTTTTCTCAAAAGCCTTAAAATACATTAAAACAAAGTAGAGCTAGACCTGCTTATTCTGAGCTCACAACTTCCTTAATACCAGAAACACTATTTTCAAATTCAACAGTACTGTTTACTCCAGGAAATGTTTTCTTCATAGTCATGGCAAAATCAAACACCATATTATTTCAAGTTTCAGCAAATGCTTTATTCCCCTCGTTATTGTCTCAGAACTGTTGGAAGCTAAAGCCTGAAAAAGTCCTTCAGCAATAAACATAAATGTTTTACAGAAAAAGAAAAAAGAAGTTGCAAGACGATGTCAGTTTCTGTTAAATGGGTTCCTGAGTATTTTTCCTTGGTAAAGTCCCCAAATGTGAATGAATTAGGTACAGCGTCGATAGAAGTAAAAGAAGTAATCTGTGAAGAATATCCCAGCAAAATAAGGATCAGTTGAACAGTCAGCTAAATCCTGTCAGAACAGGAGAAAAAAAGAGGATGATTAATGTAAAAATTAACTGTAGTTAAAGTGATTTTTTTTTTATTGCTCAATTTCTTTCTCACTGAAAAGAAAAAGAGAAAGCAAGCTTACCGCTGCAGCTACACGGAAATGGAACATGCTGTCGGAAAATGGGGCTACAGGGAGGCTCCAAATGTGCTGATATCCCTGAATAATGAATAAAAGAGGATCCATTTCATACCCACATTTGACAGTCAGTAGGAAAGAGTACAGGCTGAAAAGCATTTCTTCAATGGCTGTATGAGAAGTATCGGGATCACAGCTTTTGATGGATGTCACCAGAACAGTCTACAGCTTTGTAAGGACGCAAGGAAGAGGCTGACCAAGCCCTGTGACTAAGGTTGGCGATTTGCTCACTGTATCCCTCTCTCAGCAGAGAACAGAGGAGACAGAAAACATTACCTGTGTCATCTCCTGGGAGATTTCTCTGTGGGTTTCAATCCCTTTGGTTTCCCTTTTATTATGGAAACATATATTTCCAAGGGTGAATTTGCACTGGAAGACTATCAATGGCTCTGTTGTGCTTCAAGAGACGAAGAAAAGAAAGAGCACGTGAAAAAGCAGTTACCAGCGTCTATAGGATACTCCTTGATAAGAAGAGGGTCTAATGGAAACATAACTTGGAAATCCATTCAAAGTTCACAATAGGCATTGTATTAGGTGAAGCTCACTGATGCCAATAGGCCAGATCACATCTCATTACTATAAAAAGAAACCCAGTCTCAGATGGCTACTGAAACAGTATATGATGGTTTCTTTTTTCTTTTCTTTTTATTTCATTTTTTTATAGAGACAAGGTCTTGCTATGTTGCCCAGGCTGGTTTCAAATTCCTGGGCTCAGGCAACCCTCCTGCCTCAGGCCTCCCAAAGTGCTGGGATTACAGATGTGAGCCTGGCTGTGTATGATGGTTTCTAAAACCTAATCTCATCACTTAAATCATCTCACATCAGAACTTATCTCCATAATATTTTTTCTAATTTTTGGATATATTCCTTCTTTTTCCACTGACACTGAGTTTGCATTTATCTGAAGCTTTCAGGATTTTCGATTTTGCAAATTCCAGTTCTGGGTAGATATTGTTTAAAATAACAGAGCAAATAAATACAGACAGGAGTTTGGGAGTGAGCCCCATCAGAAATCACTAGATTTTAAAGCTGTCAGAGTTGAAAGCCTGCAAGAAAGAATGGTTCTTCTTCTCTGGAGGTTAGTCCACTAATCATCATCAAGAGGATGAGATCTATTTGTCTTTGGGAACAATCCTTTTGCACAAGTTGGGGCAACTTACAATCTCAGTTGAGTATATGTGTTATTTATTTATTTATTTATTTATTTTTGAGACTACAGATGTGCACCACCATACCCAGCTAATTTTTGCATTTTTAGTAGAGACAGGGTTTCACCATGCTGACCAAGATGGTCTCGATCTCTCGACTTTGTGATCCACTTGCCTCGGCCTCTCAAAGTGCTGGGGTTATAGGCATGAGCCACCACACCTGGCCAATGTGTTACTTTTAAATCAACCATTTTACAAAAAATGGTTTTTAAACTAAAAGACCTCAGTTAACGGCTCAAAGTGATCTGCCACTTCAGGGGATATAGCATATAACCTTATTTCCTTCCACTAAAAGCTAGAAATGTATAAGAAAACGTTATTTCAGATTACTCAAGGAGTGCTAGATAACAGTACTTTCAGTTTATAAGAATAGTACATTTAGCTTTTGCTCTGCCTTGAAATATGGTAGGTTCTGAGTCACAAAATATTAGTTGCTTGAAAGAAACCTTTCCAAGGCAAGCAGTTGGCTTGAGTGGCACTGGTTCTCACAGAGGCGAAGTTGATAAGAAAAGGAGTATGAAGCCCGAGTAAGACAGAGGAAGAGGCAGAGGGCACGTGGTGAAGGAGGGAGGAGGGAAACAGATCTGAACAAGCAGAGGGAGAGAGGGGAGGACAGAGGGAAGGGAAAGAGTGAGAGAAAAGGAAGGGGAGAAAAAGGAAATGTGGAGGGGAATAGAAAGAAGAGACTAAGATCAGGTGACACAAAAAACCATTTATCTTCATGGAAAGTGGCTCATTGCATAATTTTTTAGTGGAAAGTCTTTAAGTTGCATAATCATTTAAAATATCTGATAAGAATAGGTTAAGTTAGAGTTTTGTGATTCGAGAGGAAAGGTAGTGCTAATAAGAGCTACCATTTATTGTGTGCTCACTATGTGTCACGAAAGGGCAGTCTCCTTGCATGTCTTATCTCACTGGGGAGGCAGGACAGGACAGTGATGGCTCAGAGGATGGACTGAAGTTGAAGCCCAGCTCCATAACTTAGTACCTGTGATTTTCAGAATGTGACTTGCCTTGCCTTGTGCCTTCCTCTCCCCACCCCTTCCCGAAACTCTAAACCCAAGTGCCCCCTTCTGAAAAATATAAACTAGAAAAAAAAAAACAGTGAGGATTTTATGACCCACTATTAAAGCCTGGCATCTAGTGTGTGCTCAGCAGATGGTAGTTACTAATTTCACTATTATTAATAATTCTCACAGCAGCTCTATGTGTTATGGTATAATATAATACTTATATTACAGATAAAGAAACAGTAGTTCAAAGAAGATAAGTGGCTTTGGGAAGATCACATAATAAGTAAGTGACAGAATCCTTGGACCCTGTTCTGTCCAATTCCAAACTCTGGTTCCTTTTTTTTTTTTTTTCTGTCTTTTGGAAGATAGGGGTGGTATCTGCATTAACATTGCTACCAGGAGCTCACCAAAATGTGCATCTTTCCATCTGGGGGCCATGTTATTATTCTTCTTTCTATTCTAATTCTCTCTCTCCAAGTGAGAGAGTCAGGAGAAGTCTACAGCTTGTGAGCATCAAACCAAAATCAACCCCAATTTGTAGGCATGGGTGTAGAGTTTAGAGCCCTTCCATTTCCTGAAGAAAGCCTGGATGATCATTTCAAAATGATCTCATTTTGAAAACCTTTCCCTCAACTGGCCCACCTTTCAAACCATCGTTAGTTAACAAAAACTGATAGCTTTTTGCTTCTTCACTTACTGACAAAATTATGAAGTAAATCCAGACTTGCTATTCAATTAATGATAAAAATAAAATTGTTTTTTTACAGCCATATACTTACTTTATTTCCAGAGAGAACTTGACATTGGTGGGTGTATGCTTATTAACAGGAATATTATAATTGTAATTTCCAGATCTAATTATGGAAAAAAATAAAACCACAAATCAAAATATGCAGCAAAGTCTTCAAAGCACCTTTTGATACTCATTATATACTATAAAAAATGTGAAATATTGTATAGTAAATAATAAATATAGAAAATTGAGTTCGACCTGGTATTATTTTTTTTTTCTTATATACCTGTCAAATTTCAGAGTAATCTCTTTCAGGTCTTACTATAAAATGTACCACAAAAAGTTATAGTTTTTTAGAACACACAGAAAAAGAAATGAAGGAAAGTCAACTCCCAGACCAAATGCACACAGGAAATGACTTTAGTCCCCTTTAAAGAGACACAGATTTCCGAAGACAAATGAGGCAAAGGCTCAAATTAACAATTCCCTTGGAAATCATAAATATGTTTTTTCTACCGTAAATCACTCCGTTTTGAGCAACAGTACGAGAAAATACCAGGTACTTTTAGAACCTGAATCTGCTAAATTGTTATAATGCTAATTACCATTTAGTAAGGGAGAAAATTGCAAGACAAGTGCTTATACATAGATCCCCTCACACCTTTAGGAGAGATCCCTGGATAAAAGGGAAATTATTTGATTTGTATTGTAATAAAAAACTCCAGCAAAAAGACATATGGTGTCTAAAACGATTTCTCCTTATGACCTGACCATCCCTTGAATTACATGGAAAAGCAACTTAAAATCAGATTGATGGGAAAAAGAGTCAATCGTTTCAGATTATTTTTAAGCAATGCTAAACTAAGTTGCTAAAAAGGTAAAAGCAAAAGTAAAGGAAATGGAAAGATCCTATGTTTTGCATTGAATAGGTATATTAAAACAAAACAAAAAAACATTATACACCTTGAATATAAACAGTTTTTGCTGGCCAATTATACCTCAATAAAGCTGAAAAAATAAGAGTGCATCTTGCATATCAAATTGAGAACAGTGTTATTTCAGGGAGTGAATGTATTTTTTAAAACAGAAAGATGTGCATAGGGATTAGGAGCATCTTGTTTGACTGGGAGAAGCTTAGATAAATGGAATTCATTTCCTAAGATGTGTCTCCCATTATCTGCATCCTTCAACAGCAACCCAACTCAGTTTTGACAGTATCCCCACCTTAGAGCTGAGAAATGGGTATTTGGGGAGAATAAACATCTTGTCAAAGTTCTAGGACTTGAACTTGAATCATCTGACTCTTCTCTATGTCATCCTACCACATTAATTAATATCTGTATCTGACACTTACAGGTGATCTTAGGCAAACTTTTTCAAGTTCACTGAAATTTAACTACAAAACAGGGAGAAATTATACCAACCTCATAGGGATTTTGTGAGAATTCGAAGAGATAATGAACATAGAGGTCATAAACAAATCATAAAGCACCATACACGTCACTTTAATAACTCACAGCCATCAACTTAAAGCCCAAGTTATGTCAGGTTGGAAAATAAATGAGGCTGAAAACCCACAGGATTTGTGACACTAGTTCAAATTATAGGCCTTGCCTTTAATCTAGCAGGTGCCCAAAAATTAGTTTTTTTTGTTTTCGAGACAGAGTCTCACTCTACCACCCAGGCTGGATGCAGTGGTACGATCTTGGCTCACTGTAAACTCCACCTCCTGGGTTCAAGCGACTCTCCTGCCTCAGCCTCCCTAGTAGCTGGGACTATAGGCGTGTGCCAACATGCCCGGCTAATTTTTGTATTTTTAGTAGAGATGGGGTTTCACCATGTTGGTCAGGCTGGTCTCAAACTCCTGACCTCATGATCCACCCTCCTTGGCCTCCCAAAGTGATGGGATTACAGGCATGAGTCACTGAGACCAGCCCAAGAAATAACTATCAAATTAAGAAAATAACTCCCCCTTTCTCTGTGTGTGTGTGTGTGTGTGTGTGTGTGTGCGCGCGCGCGCGTGCGTGTGTGTGTGTGTGTGTGTGTGTGTGATAGAGAGAGAGAGAGAGACAAACAGACAGACAGGGTCATACTCTGTTACCCAGGCTGGAGTACAGTGGTTCAAACACAGAGCTCATTACAGCCTTGACCTCCTGGGTTCAAGAGATCCTCCTACCTTAGCCTCCCAATTAGCTGGGACCACAGTTGTATGCCATCAAACCCAGCTAATTTTTGTGTTTTTATAAAGACAGTATCTCATCACATTTCTATAAAGACAGTATCTCATCATGTTTTCCAGGCTGGTCTTGACCTTGAACTCCTGGGCTCAAGCAGTCCTCCTGCCTTGGCCTCCCAAAGTGCTGCAATTACAGGTGTGAGACACCACACCCAACCCTCCCCATTCTTAATGCCTACAACTGGCTCATTTTACTCTTTGAAGTAACTTGTACTCTCTGCTTCTAGATGTATCATTACCTTGATACAGGTGATAAGGCATATACTGGAGATGGATGCTGCTGATAACTTTTGCCATATCTGATTTTTTTCCTCTTAACTGAAAAGCTAAGTTATATTTTTTCAGCAATTAAAATAATGATATCCCTTGTTATTAAAATATACAAATGTCAGCTAACTCGTAACTTGGAGCCATCAGCAACAATGTCATTCTTGGCTATAAAATTAACTGGCAACTCCGTGCCCTTGATATGTGCCCTCAGAGAGTCAGCCGCAGAGCTCCTCCCTAGGCTTTCTGCTTTGGACTTATCCATCAAACCAGGAGACTGGAATAACTGGGGTTATGGCTTATTGACATTTGCTAATACTAACCGTTTTATGATTCTTTCTCCCACCATATAATAAAGATGCTTTCACTTAAGGAGCAATGTAAGCACACATTGATTTTATCATGTAGCTTTAGCTTTCACTGCAGTCTTAAAAACCCGGAGCTATGAGTAAATTCCAGAAACAACCAGGGCATGCTGGGGAGGCTTACCCACCCGCACTGGAGGCTTCGGCTGCAATACTGATGATCTATTATTTGCTGGATTTCCATAATCTGAATAGAACTGATAGTTGTATCAATCCCTAAATTGAGAAGAAATAGAGAAAAGAAAATAAACTTTTCTGTAAGGGAAAAGAATATTGTATTCCAGCCACACTCCCCAAATTACAGAATGGAAAGTAAGAGTTTCCTGAAGAGATTCCATTTGCATTTAAATGGAAAAAAAGGAGGAAAAGAAAGGGAAGAAGGCTTTTGGGGGGGGAGGGGGTGGTTATAATAAACTTTAGAAAAACTATTAAAAACTCAGGCTCCAATAAACAACCCCTAAAACATCCAAAAGAATTTCTGGACCATGGAAGTCCTACTAAATCAAAATTTATTGAAAATGGAGGGTACAACATGAAATGCAATCTGTTTCAGAAAACAGACTAAAAATATAACCAGAATAGAAGAGGAGGGCAGGAAGTTCAAATAAATTACGAAAATCCATGGAGACCAATCACAAGTTGTCTGGTAGTAAGCGGCCATTTCTAATGCCTCATTAGTGGTTAGGGTGGCATAGATCGTAACACGCAGTCCCACGAATATATGTGGCAGGCAGACTGTAGCCTTTGTCCCTTCTCCTCACTCCAGCAATGCTTTTACAACTTGTTAGTCTGCCTGGCCCCACGAAACCAAAGAATGGTGTCACTTAAATGTCAACTTACGGTCACTCCCCCAGTCAGGGCCGCTAAGCGCATTTCTTGCCAGGAATGATTGGCTTCTGTCTTCTGAAGAGGAAACAAGTCTGTCAATCTTGAAGCCTTGCTCAGGAGAAGAGATGAAACCCCATGTGTGATCTAGGTCATCTCTGTGAGTTCAGTGTTCCTCCACCCTTTCTGTCTCCCATCCTTCAACCCATCTAATCTCTATGCTATTTCTCATAGATCTAGTTTATTCTCACCCTTCTGCAAGAAGTCATCTGTTATGGACTATTATTGGGTCCCCCTTCCCAGCTACCAAATTCAAATGCATATGGTGAAGCCTTATTTCCCAGTACCTCAGAACATGACTGTTTGTAAATAGGGCCTTTAAAGGAGTGATTAAGTTAAAATAGGCTGTGAGGGTGGGCCCCAATACAATCTGACTTGTGTTCATGTAAGAGCAGAAGATTAGGACACACAGGGAGACCCTAGAGCTACCTGTACACAGAGGAATGAACATGTGAAGACACAGCAAGTTGACAGTCATCTGCAGGCCAAAGAGAGATGCCTCAGAAGAAATCAGACCTGCTGATACCTTGATTGTGGATTTCCAGCCACCAGAAATGTGAGAAAATAAATATCTGTCATTGAAGCCACCTAGTCAGTGGTATTCTGTTGTGACGGTGAAGCGGACTAAGAAACCATCTCCAACTAGGTCTGCAGCTCACAGATCACTCCTCTAGAATGTCATAGCATCTGTTACTGAACCATCTAGACAGTCATCAATCAGTGATATAACTGTCACCATACTGAAGGGCATATTACCTCTGTATTATTACTTAACTTTTCATGTATATTTGTCATTTCCTGACAATTCCAGAATAGGGAATGTCTATTAATATTCTTTGAATCCTTTGTAACCCCTGGCATAACATCTTGCTCAGTCTATGGAAACTATTTTTCTTTGATGACAAGCTAATGATAGTTTTCTTTCTCATCTATTTTGTGAATGAACATTGTTAATTGAAAGTACTGTATTTAGATTATCTGGATTCTTTTTTCTCCATCTTAGTGTTGCTATCTCAGGATTACACCTGATAATGTAAATAAAGAGATAAGTAACCAAGGAATTTCTGTTCAAACACCTCCAGTGACAGGGGACTCACTGCACATTCTTCTGCTGGGCAGTGCTAAATACCAGTTTTCCCTTTCACTGAGCTAGCGTCTGCCCTCCTGTTGATCCCCTTCTCATCCTGATGTTACTTCTTGAGTGAGTATAACAGGCCCTAAAGGCAACTTCTCTGGCCAACTGAAACCTGGCTCATAAGAAGTTGCAAAGAGTAGGAACATACTCATTAGTCATATTTACTTTCCTGAGTGAAAGCAAAGCCTATGAAAATATAACGTTTAGAAACTAGCAAGGAGAAAGAACTATTCCTGGAGATCCCAGGAGAAAGATGGAGATTTCACTGAATAATCCCTTTGGAGTTGAGTCCAGGTAGCACCAGGACCTAGCATCAAATGTATACTGGTCCCTATAGGTTTTTCAATCCTGCCTACTTCTGTGATCTCTCTGCTACTTGATACATCCTTTTAAAACAGAAAATACGTTTAAGGGCAGTAAAGAAACTGGGTAAAAATGAAGAAAAACAGGAGCACAACTATCCCTACAGTAAAATAATGAAACATTAACTTTCTTCATACAAATAGAGTTTGTGTCTCTAAAGATAAGCAAAACTTATAAAACAAATTGAGCATGTCTTCCTAATTGCTTTAATGACTTGAATAGGAAATGTTAGAGGAAATTCTGGGGGACATATATTTTTGCACTGAAAGATAACAATGACAATTACACCTAGTATTTGTTGATGCCTACTTGAGGGAACATTGTTCTGAGTGCCTTACAAAAGCCCGAGAGGAAGGTTATCCCCGCTTGACAGATAAGCTAAGTGAGGTACTAAGGACTTGTCTGGTGGGTAGGAATAAAGAGATTCCAATTCACACCATCTGATTCCAGAGTCCACCATTTTGCTATTTTGGGAATATGTGAAATATGATCCACGTAGGAAAAAAACTGAGCTTAAAGTCTAAGGTAGGGGTGTCCAATCTTCTGGCTTCTTTGGGCCACTCTGGAAGAAGAATTGTCTTGGGCCATACATAAAATACACTAAGACTAATGATAGCTGAAGAGCTAAAGAAAAATTTTAAAGAAAACCTCTCATAATGTTTTAAGAAAGTTTACAAATTTGTGTTGGGCCTCATTCAAAGTCATCCTGGGCCATATATGGCCCATGGGCCATGGGTCGGACAAGCTTGTTCTAAGGTAAGGCTTGAGCTGCAGCCAGCTGAAGGGAGGAATCAGATTGCTGGTGTGAGGCCAGAGCAGGCTTGTGGGGAGGGAGCCCAGGGAATGGCTAGGCTCCTCTCATCACCCAAAAGGCATTTTAAATGCAATTTTGAAAAGGTACCCATTCAGATGAATGTTATTAAGACTATTTTTTAATGTATCTTTTTAACATAGATAGTGAAAGCAATCATTTAGTGGGTTGCTAAACACACCTAATAAAATAACTTTATGAAGTTTTGGCAGTTATTTTTTTCCCATTAAACCAGTATTTTTATTATTTTTTTGTCCTGTGTCCTAATTTTTATTATATTTAAAAAAAAAAAAGAAAAAGAAGAAGAAAGAGAGGGGGTTCTAAGGGGTAAATCCTTTTATGGTGGGTCCTGTATCTTGCTGCAGTACTTGACTGAGACTTTGACCAACTCAGCCAGTCTCAGCACCCTTATTTCCAATATTTAAAGTATACATAAAGAAATTAAAATTCTATGAAGATTCTATAGTTTAGAACTGGTTCCTTTTTAAAACCAGACAAGTTCTGGTCAGAAAAAAAGGGGAAACTTTCAAATGAATACACAGACAGTGAAAGAAATAAAAGAGATTCTCCTATAAATCCAATTGCAGGTAGAATTCAATTATTTTATTTCCAGCTTTGGAATACATGTTTTGGACTTGTGCTTGAAATATCTATCTAAGACCTGGGAAATGGTCCCACCGACAAGTGGCATCATCTTTTGGAGCCTTTTGGCCTGAACATTCCTGCAAGGTAAATGTATACATAAGTTTAAATAAAGAAAATGATTGCACCCATTAGAACTTTAATGGGACCAACATAGAGGTGATCTAATAAAAAGTTAAGACAGTCATTTCATTGATATATGAAATTGACGTCTAATACTCACTTTGTTTTGCAGAATATTTTAATATTCAATTTTAGTTTTGCAGAATCCTGCCATAGGAAAAATGGAGCTGTTTGGCGCATCTGTAAAGAAAATTATGCTGGACCTAATTGTGAAAGGTAAGCCAATAAAATGTTCTATTTTCTGTGTAGGTCAAAGGAAGCTTTCTGTTTCTTACACTCAACAGCTCTGCCTTACTCCCGTTCAGTTGGTATTAAAGGAGAGGCTTAAGAGGGGTGGAGGGACCACATTTCAAAATCCCTTAGGGAAGCTTTCCCCAAATCTCATGCCCCAGATACAGCAAATAACAATATGCTTCCCAGGGCTCCAGGCCAAGGCCACATCTCAGGATAAGCGCACAGCGAAAAAGGAAATTGAGGATGCGGATTTTGAAAAGATTCTCTATGTGGTTTTGGAATGCTCTTTTTTTAATTTGCAGATTTAGATGTATGTTCAAGTTTCAGTATCCAATTTGAGGATAGAAAGCAAAAGCAATAGTACACAAGACTTGGGGACAATCACTCCTGAACATCCCTGACCTGGTTAAAACTGCTCTCACTAGGTGGAAGGATTAGTTTACTTACACTTACCCATTCACTTAACTGTGGGCTCCTTGAAGACTACATCCTATTTACTGTTGTATCTCACATAGGGTAATTCTGGTCTCAAGGTGGTACTCAATGAATATGGGTGAAAGGATGGAAGGAAGAGAGCCAGGGAAGGAGGAAGGAAAAGAAGAGGGAAGGGCCAATTTAACCTTTAAGAAACTTTCCTCTTACACATTCACAGGGAAAGTTCGCAGGGGAAGAGTGCAGAGGGATGCTGGGAATTAATATGGGAAGGTAGGCTCCTTTACGCTATTAGCAAAAGGAAGCAAGACACAACCGGAAGGCAGGGCAAGTTTCTGAGCCCAACATGACGCTTTCTATTAAGAAATGGGTCCTGATATATGAGAAGTTTCTAGAAAATTGAATATTTATTTTCTTTTACATGTAACCATATATGCTGCCAAAAAGGCCTCCAGATTTCTGGGATTCTTGCTATTCTGGTAATAATTTTCAAACACATCTTCTACTATTAGTTTTACTTAAGACTGCTTCCACAGAAGGTTGTAAATTTACAAGGCAAATGAGGCATAAAGAGAAGTGGAAATCAGGATTTCTCTGTCCTGTCTGTTTTCTTTTCCTATCTTATGTTCTACTTGTCTGCTGAATTTGCAGAAAAAGAGCTCATTATAAATTCTGGCAATGGAACTACAGATTTGCCTTATTCCACAGAACTGTGGTTTCAGGTCCTGGAGACATAGAACCCTATGAATATGATTGAGTGGGGTAAAGTTTTTTTAAAAAACAGCAATAAATAGATGGGAATGAAGAAAGATAATCCGGCAGATCAGAATTATAAACATGATTTTTCAAATACAAGAAATAAAATTTAAATTTCCCGTAAAACACCTCCAATTTACACTTCTCTGAAACAAGACTATCTGAGTCTGAAAGGCTGGTTATAGGAAAACCATAAATCTTCCAGGAATCATACAGGAAGTCACAGAAGCATACTTTCAGTACCTTCTAGAGTTGATCTCATTTTACAAATGCCTTCCAGTGATATTCACTATAAGCTTCATATAGTATATTTCCTGCAGTTTTCATTATAAAGTTGGAGATACATTTCACAATTGGTGGAAAGCTCTCCCAATAAACTAAATTAGAAACTTCTGGAGAGTAAAGATTTAGGATGGTGCCCAACAAAAGCATACTCCTGTCATGGCAGAAGGCATATATTGCACTATTTGCAAGACTGTGTTGGCGGCTGAGTCCAGTACAGCATCTTAGATACCTTTCTCTTCCCTTCACTGAACCAAACTCATGTGCTCTGAAGAAGTCAATGAGCCCCACCAGATGGCTGAGTCCTTTAATGCAGGGGACCCTTTTCTTCTGGCCATTCACTTTTCTCAGAGTCACGGTCTCCAAAACAAAATGAGCATGAATCCCAGATATTTTTTAAATCTTCACCAACTCTAATATATTCTGTAGAATTCCACTGATGCTTTTCTCTACAGGGTCTTTACTTTTTAATAGCTAACTCTCCCGTCTACTCAAATCTTTATTGGTTCCATGGTTTAAAATCTAATTCATCACATTCAGATGGTCCCTTAGAGTAGAAGTTCAATATTCTAAAATACTTACTCTCTACCTCCTGATTAGTCTTATCCAAACTTTTTATTAAGTGAGGGGCAGAGGGAGAGGTAACCTTTCTAAAAGATACTTTATACAGACAAAATCAACTTTGGCCCAAAAGAAGGATAATGACTTGAGCTCAGCATGTCATAAAAATGCTGATTTCCCTTTACTTATTTTATCGTAGTCTTACTCCTAATGGAGGAGGCTCATAAATGTGTTTAGGCATTTAGTGAACTGTTAGATATTACTCTGCATCCCACTTAGAGCTTTTCTAAGTTTTTTTTTTTTTTGGTTACCCTTGAATTCCTTTTTTTATTCTTTAATTTTTAATTGGTCTTTAATGCCTTAGAAACATCTGGCTGAAAAGAACAGTTTCCTAGACTTCTCCTCTTTTGTATTTAGAAGCCCTGGTGTTATACAGTACCCTGAACAGAGAGGAAGAGTAAACCAGCAGCAGAAGAGAAGAGGCTTTGCTCAGACACTGAAATATCCCACATCAGGGACATTGCAATGGCCAGAGGCACTTGCCAGGAGGAGGCAGAAGAGGCCATCAAGTGAATACTTTCTGCACCTTCTATAGTTGATCTCAGGTGCATGCACATCCCATGTCCAAATCAATGGACTCAGGATGGCAATTGGGAAGGAACTCAGGACAGGGATACAGAACTAATAGGTTCTTTGACTATAAATGCCACATAAGTCCTACAAATGCAACGTAAGGGGACCCAGATTTCAATTCCAACTTTTCTAGAAAGCTGAGGAATCTTAAGCAAGATCTAGTGCCTCCATTTCAACTGCTGCAAAATGAGTAATTTGGTATAAATCAGCAGTTCTGATATTGGATCCTTGGAACCTTAGGTGACTGCCTAAAGGGGTCTGTGGTGTTGTCTATAGACTTGAAAAGCAACATCTCTCCTACAGATTTGTACTATTTTTCAAACACCACTGTTGGAGAAATAAAAACAATTCAGTTAAAAGCTTAACCAAATTTATAGTTACATTTGCCCTTTATGTGTTTTCTCAATCACATCATTGTAAAAGTATGCTTATAGTAGAATCTCAAGGCTGAAAAGTCAGGTGCCACTCACGTAGCTGTTCTCTGAGATTCCATGACTAAATCTCCAAAAGTTTTCGGGGTTTCTGAAGACAAAAGTGAATCAAACATTTGAATCCTTTCCATTTTTCTCCAGTTGACAAAAGGAAGAGGGAACGACTTTCCCAGTGTATCGCAGAGCCTAGTAAGGCAGAACTTACGTTGCATTTGTAGTCAAAGAACCTATTAGTTCGTCTAGGTGGACACAGCCTGGCACCATGGAGCAAATTTTCTTTCCTTAGGAATCACTTCTTTCTTTAGGAGTTTACATAGCTATAGAAACAAGATAAGCAGATACTCATCTTGTTTCTAGACTATTGTTTTTAGGAGAAAATTTCTAAAAACAATAATAAATTAGTATACTTTTGGAAGAATTGTATATAATCTTATGGACATGATTATACTTGTAGCCCTTAAGTTTCTATAATTTTTTTAACATGAAAATTCTGTATTGTCACAAAGAGAGCACAAGACTTGATCTGGTTTAATAAGGGCTATTCTTCCCAATATAGACATGCATTGCTTAACTATATGATTCTGGGAAATATGTCATTAGGCAATTTCATTGTTGTACAAACATCACAAAGCGTACTTCACAAATCTAGATTGTACAGCCTACTACACACCTAGGCTATTTTGCTTCTTGGCTGCAAACCTGTACAGCATATTACTGTAAATACTGTAGGCAATTGTAACACAAGGGTAAGTATTCCTGTATCTAAATATATCTAAATGTAGAAAGGATACAGTAGAAAATAGAGTATAAAAGATAAAAACTAGTCCACCTGTATCAGCAATTTACCATAAATGGAGCTTATAGGGTGGAAGTTGCTCTGAGTCAATCAGTGAGTGAGTGGTGAATGAACGTGAAGGCCTGGCACACTACTGTAGACTGTATAAACACCATACTTTTAGGCTATACTAAATTTATAATTAAATTTAGCTTACTGAAACTTTTTTACTTTTAAATTTGAAAAAACCTTTTTGCCTCTTGTAATAACACTTAGCTTAAAACACAAATGCATTCTACAGCTATACAAAGATATTTTCTTCCTTTATATCTTTATTTGATAAGCTTTTTCTATTAAAAATTTTTTTCCTTTTAAGCCTTTGCATTAAAAACTAAAGTACAAATACACACATTAGCCTGGCCTACACAAGGTCAGGATCATCAAGGCAATAAGAATTTTTCAGCTCAGTTATTATCTTACGGGACCACTAGTGTGTATATGGTCCACTGTTGACTGAAACGTCATTATGTGGCAATGACTATATTCCCTCAATGTGAACAGCTAGTTACTTCAGGAAAGAACTTGTTCAGGAGTCAAGAAACCCTTGAAAATGCAGAGTGGACTAGTCTACGACTTCTTCCTCTTCAGGAACTTTTATTAGTACATCTCTCACAGGCGAGATGGTCTCCTCAGAGGACTGCTTTCAGAAAAGAACATCAAGTGTCCCCAGCATGGACTCCCAAGGTAAGAAAAGTGTTTACCAGCCACAGGGTTCCATGTGCTTTCACAAGGGATAAAAGCTTAGGGGATTTTTGTGATAGTTCTAGATTGTTTCATATTTTAAAATATTGAGAATATGATGACTGAAATGAATTCCTTTCTTTAAAATGAACCTTTGTTTTACTCTACAGTGATACATCTGCTCCTAGGTTCAATCAAAAATAGTTTTCATGAGAAAAGCTCATTGCCTCCTATTGGTGTAGGGAAAGAACTCTCTGAGTCTCAGCTTCCTGACTAGTTAAAACACTGGGATAATAATGGTACTTATCTTGAAGGCTTATGAAGATTAAATGATTTCTCATGTAAATTACTTATTTGCATAGAGTAATACTTCATTACATCATATAATCATGATGATGATGACAATTTGTAAAAGTTATTTAACCGAGACTAGGATATGGAATAATGTCAAAAGGGAAAGGAAATTACACTGTACCCCAACATTTAGCCACTGACTATATTCTATGTAGGTCATTAGCAGCACTTATAAGTATTTTGGTTCATTTCTCCAGACTTGTTAGGTATGTTCTTCCCCATCTGTTTTAAAATTAGACATGACTAATGTGATGTGACTGGCTTTGGCCAATAAAGTATAAGCAGAGGTGATATGTGTTAACCTAGGTGGAAGCTATTAACAGTCAGTACATAATTTGCATTGTTGTTTTACCACAACTACAGAGACTGTGGAAATAAGTATTGTGATGGAGTCTTCATCAGCCAGATCCTAAATGACATGATGACCAATAACCCACTTTTGATTCACATTTGATACATACGGTGAGTCAGAATTAAATTTTTGCCATAAGAAGCCACTGTTATTTGAGAATTGTTGTTATGACAGTATCCTAATCAGTAAGCCACAGTAATATGTATCCTTGCTAGCATCATCATTAATACTACTTTAGATAGTTATTAATATGTATATACAGAATAACATTTCTAAAAACAATAATAAATTAGTATATATTTGGAAGAATTGTATATAATCTTTTTTTTTTTTTTTTGAGACGAAGTTTCGCTCTTGTTACCCAGGCTGGAGTGCAATGGCGCGATCTCGGCTCACCGCAACCTCCGCCTCCTGGGTTCAGGCAATTCTCCTGCCTCAGCCTCCTGAGTAGCTGGGATTACAGGCACGCGCCACCATGCCCAGCTACTTTTTTGTATTTTTAGTAGAGACGGGGTTTCACCATGTTGACCAGGATGGTCTCGATCTCTCGACCTCGTGATCCACCCGCCTCGGCCTCCCAAAGTGCTGGGATTACAGGCTTGAGCCACCGCACCCGGCCAGAATTGTATATAATCTTTTGGATATGTTTACACTTGAAGTCCTTGATTAAGTTTCTATAATTTTTAACACGAATATTCTGTTACTTGAAAAACATTGTATTTGTGTATGTATGTGTGTGTCCCTAGGAGGAAGAAGAAAAAGTTATTCTGAAAGTGGAATGCCAACCTTGTGTTTTTCACTGACTTAAATCTCACCCTGAACTCTAAATTAGAGTTTCCAAAGTCTCTTACATTTTGCCCTAGTTGGTTTGGGCAGAGAGCCCAGATGCCACATCATTTTAAAAATTCTAAATGAGCCAAGAAACTCCACCCACACGCATGTAATTACTTTGCTTGTGCTACTATGACTATCCTTGCTGGCAGTGCACAAAAGTGAACCTTTCACTTGGTGAAAATTATAAGTACTTGAATCAACCAAAATTTCATTCCTAGGCAAGGAACTTGATATTACAGATGATTGCCAGCTTGCGTGTTTGTATTTTAAAAGATTTTGCCACCCCAAATAGAAGCATTATCTGGAACCATTAATGACCATCTAAGCAAACGGTGACAAGAAAAACAACCTGAAGTTCAAAGCTCTAGTTGCTTCTCTTTGAACATCAATCACTTACCTGACCATTGCCCCTGATGGAATTCCTTGTCTTCAGATTGTCTTTGCGCAGGACTTGAAAACCCTCTTTTCATTCCCCAGATGGGGCAGCAATAAGTCTCCTGACACGGCAGGATTTCACAGAAAGTAATTTCAGGTACTCGTAAGGAGGCCGGTGTGGTTACCAGGGATGTATTAGGTGCTGCAAGGCATTGGGCAGAGGGGAGGGAAGCAGGAAGGTTAACCTGAGAGGCTGGTTTCTTCTGTTGACAGTTCACATGAAACCGGGTCTGAGGGTGAGGAATGAGAAGCCTTTACCTGAGGACAAGGCTGTGGGCAGCAGAGCTGGCTCCCGAGAGCTTGTGACATTGCTGGAGAAAAAGAATGAAATGATTAACGAAAGATGCCTGCAAAAATCCTTCTCTCCAAAGGAATTTTAGGCCAGAAAACTGAACTGAACTCTCACCTTGGAGGGAGATTTGGGGCACGTCGGTTTTGATCTTTTAAGCTAAGTATATAAAGGACGACTATCGTCAAAGCACTGTCAAAAAAAAAAAAAAAAAAAAGCATTATGTGGCAGATTTGTTTCCAGATATATCTCACACATCCAGCTGGCCAGAGATGTACTCTCACAGGCCACACAGATGGGAGCAGGGGGGAGGGGGTGGCCACGGCTGACAGAAACACCATGGAAACCAGCACGGTTATGCTTTCTGCCCTGGAGAGAAAAAGCCCTCGGCTTCCTGGAGCTCAGAGGCTCCTGGGTTTCTCCATGCTGCTGGATTTTCCCACAGAGCAGCCCCCTGGCCCTGGCAAGCTGTCTCAGAGGCGCCTGTCACTAGTGGAAGATTACAAGAGGAAGCGTGTACGCTGCTGGAGGCAACTGCTCCTTGCAGGAAAGAGTCAGAGCAGTTTGTGTCCCGCCAGCAAGGGCACTGGCACTGTCACCCTGGGAGACGGAAGGCGGCACAGGTCTAGTCCGCTGTGGATGCCAAACCCTCTGGTTGCTGCTCTGACATCTTCCTTGCGGCTGCCTGTCTCTTCAGAGCACCATACACTGAATAGGTCAGAGGAAAAAAAAGAACTGCCAGAAAGTATTTGTTTCCACACTGTGAGACTTCAAAATAAGGAAGATGTCTTCTCCCCCATCATCGAAACTTATATATCCTAATGGAAGCTTTCCTTAAGGGTTGTGAGCCTTGGGAAGCTATTCCCAAATCCTCATACTTCGTGTTCTCCTCCTTGGGGGGGCATCTTTAGAACTCTCTCACAAGTCACACAGAAAGTCTGCTGATAGCGTTACAGCTCCACTTTGTACTAGGCTTGAAAGAGTTACCTGAGTTGACTTCTTGCCAGTTTCACGTCACACCTGGTTCTCCAAACCCTCATTATTTTGCTCCCCATCAAAGGTGCTGGATTTACCATTAGGATACACACACACACACACACACACACACACACACACACACACACACACACACACTGGGCCATATGTTTGAATTCTGCTCATAAAAAATAAATTCCTGAAGTGTTCTCAGCAGCAGCTAGTTACTGCCCAGCAGGCACAACACTGCCTGAGAAAAGTGGTGCTGAACCCAAAGATGCTGTCAGATAAAATTTATAGTGTCATCATGGTGATTGTTTGCTGTGGTCCAGTCAACAGAGGCAGGAGACAGATAAATCCTAGGCAGACAGGGGTGGGTCCCTAGTGAAAACCCACCTTCAAGCCAAAACAGCCTGAAACCCTCAGCCCAGAGTGAAAACAACTAGTCCTGTTTTCCTACTCTCTTCTGATTGGTTCTAACTAAATAATGCCTTTTAACCAATTGAATGTTGCTTTCTCCAGTAATACCCAGGGCCTGCCCCACTCCCATCCTGTGCCTATAAAAACCCCAGACTCAGTCAGTAGAGACAGAGCTAACCTGACTTTGGGGAAGAGATGACCTGACTTCAGGGAAGAGATAACCTGACTTTGAGGAAGACAACCTGAACTTTCCATCCCCTCTTCAGCTCCCTTCTCCACTGACAGCTGTTTTATTTGCTCAATAAAATTCTCTGTTCTCATTACCCTTCAGTCATCAGTGTGACCTCATTCTTCTCGAATGCTGGACAAGAGATTGGGACCCATTGAGTGTGGGTGCCCAGAAAGGCTGTATCATTGGCCCTCTGCCCTCACCAGTGGAGGGCAGCTGCCCCACGCGACAAGACCAGGGGTCAACTGAGCTGCTAACACACTGCTGTGCATTGGGCTGTAGACGGCAGAACTAAAACAGCTAATCAGCACACGAACACCTTCCTGGGGCTTCAGGGTCCCAGACACCCTTGCCTGGGCACTGCCGTGTTCCCCTGGGAGTGACATGCCTGGTCTGGCCACAGGCCCTGCATGGCGCTTGCTTGCTCCTGTATCAGTGCCTGGAGTGGCCGCCCAAACCCCACATCCACTTGCTCATGTGCTCCCACTCAGGTGAGCACGATGGGCCAAGTAGACAGATCAACCCGGCTGCGAGTCCAGCAAAAAGGCTGAGAAAAATCCTGTGTCACGGTCTCCACTTCTTTGTTCTCCTGCCTCTCCCACTCTCTATCTCCCCATTCTAACTCTAAAATACTCTTTATGATTTGTGTCCAGCATCTGCCTCAATGCATACCCCAGAAAACTTCTAGGACCATAGAATGAGATGGAAATCTGCTTCGTTCTTTGGGGACAAACCCTGGTTTTGACCCTGTTCAGGTATACCACAGGCCAGAAGCAAGATAATATACCTAATACCTTCCATTGACGGTCTTAGTGGTAAACAATATTGGAAATCATAATATCTAATAAACATGTTTAAAAAGCAGTCTCTTTACCTTAAAATTAGACTTCTTATAACCTTTCCACTGGGCTGGGAATCTGTGGCTCTACAGAATGCTAAGTATGACCACTAAGACAGAGGTTCACATGCTCCTGAGTTGGGAATCCCAGCAAGAAAAGACAAGCACACTTAGGAGAAGAGACAAGTGCAAAGGCTTCTCATGGGAATTCTGGGCAGTGATGTCGAATCCTTGGGTATCTCCCTCCAGTGGGCAGTAGCAAGTCAAAAGTGAAAACACTAAGGAATGAGAAAGGCACAGATAAAGCTACATTATCTTCTCTAGCTAGGACACTGCTTTAGGTCAAGGAACTGGAAGTACCATGAGATCACAGCTTGCTTTGCCCATGAGAATAATTGTCTTCCCTAAGACAAGCCCCAGAAGCCAGTTCTTTCCCATGCTAACAAAGCATTTTTTGAGTGACAGATAAATACCCTTTCACCATATGAATAGTCAGACTAAGAACAAAACACGTGAATTCAAAGGCCCAGAGAAGACAGGCAAGAGAACACAGCAAGATGACCAGGTCTCAAAAGCCCAGTGTGGTGGGGGAGGGGAATCACAGCAGCAGAAGGCCAGAGGCCTGAGAAAGGGCCTTGCATTCTAGCGAAGGCTGCTTCCTGCCTTTGCGGGCTACAAAGGAGGGATGGTGTCAAAAGTTCCCCAATTTGCATGGCACATACTGTTGTCTTCACTGTATTGGTTTGGTTTAACTCCATCACGTGGTACATCTTGGTGTTCCTTTGGTAAAAGGCCTTCACTGAAGAATCCAGAAGAGTTATCGTAAATATGAGTGACCAGGGGAGGGTGGATTATACCTGATTGCCTATTTAACTTTTAATAGGCAAACTTCTTTCCCCTAAGTCAACATAAAACAAAGTTTGAGAAAACTCTTTGTTTTCAATGCTAAGAAAGATACTCCCCCCCAAACACACACGCAAAGCATAGTTTGCTGCTGAACATAGCAGTTAATTGAAAAAAAAAAAGTCACATTTAAATGCAGAAAGCCAGTGCTTTTTTCTTCAAAATATGAGTTTTCAAGAAGGGTTCCCTCATTTTTATACTATCAAAGTTCAGTGTCTATAGGGCTTCTTGTCTTCAAAGTAAACAGGCCAGTCCCCAGTTCACATGTGATAAAAGAAACATGGGAAGGAAAAAAAGAGCTTGACATAGAATAACAGTGAACTTTTTCTTACCAAAACGCCATCACAGCAATCAGAGTTATAACCAACGTCTGGAAAACCCAGTTCGGACATGCCTGTCTTTTTCCTGAAAGACAAACCTATAAAAAGGTTCAGTAAAGAGCAGTGATAAATTAGCAACTCTGTGAGAAGGGAGCCTGAAGAATTGCTCCCAGTAGGGGTATTTACTGCTCTCTAGGGATGGTTTGAGTGCTTGCCTCAATTTACATCTCTTTCCTCCCACCTGCCTCTCTAAAAACAACATTCTTTCAAAGTCTATCTCAAGTCCCTCCGTTTCCTTGAAATTTTATGCTACAGCAATCCCTCTTTTCCCTGACATCCTGCAGACAATAGTCTATACCACTCATTGGGCACTTCTCTTTGCAGTTCTAAGAGAAAGGGGAACCTGACACAAGGTATTGTCAGACCACAGGTGTCCAACTCTTTGAATAGGATACTCTTGAAAGTCAAAAGATCTTCAAGACATGAAGAGATGAATCCCAATGGAGTGATTTCAGGTATCATGACAAATGATGAAAAAGGTTTTTATAGAATGAAATCCCACTAAATACTCCTTTAATTACAACACCGGTATTCAATTTTTCACCTATATATACAGATATCTCTGGGCCTGTGTCTCATTTATTCTTATATTCATTCAATAAATATTTATTGAACAGTATTATGTACAACACTATAGGAGACATGAAAATGAGTAAATTATAGTCTCCAGGATGTAAATGAGACAAAGCTTTAGGACTGATACATATTGGCATAAAAGCTTGCATATGGAGAACAGGCTAAGAGCTGCAGATTGACAGCTGTGGAACTGCTGGGGAATCTGGCTGAAGAGATAGGAGAGGTTTTCTGCCATCTTAAATGAGGTGCTACTTAAGTATGAGTTTCCTACAAATGCAATAAGTAGTATTATGTCTGCTCCCTTCTGCGGATAGAGGACAGAGTTATGCTTTTGGTCATTAGGGTATTAAAAGGTGGTAATAGTTTTAAACTGGTTCTTGGTTTAATTTATTGGGCTGATATCTGACTAAAGAAAATGTTCTTCAGCATAACATAGGGTGGGGGACTGGATTCAGTATACTGTTTTTTTTTGTTGTTTTTTTTTTGTTTTTTTTTTTGTTTTTTTACCATGTACACAAACCCTTGGGGCTATTATAACTGAGTTATCCTTCTGATGACCAAGAAGTCAATGGTTTATACTGTTCTGAGGTCTCACAGAAACTGTTCTGAGGACGTCTTAATAGTGTACTATACAGAGTAGAAACTCAGTGAAATTTGTTGAATTGACTGGAGTTAAATAGCATAGTCTCAGGATAAGCGTTGTCTCCTTTGGTCTACCCCCACAGCTGCTGAATTATTTTAAGTCTCCATGCTTTTGATCAAAATCCTTTGACCTAATATAAATGGCCTAAGACCTGGAGTCAAACTTGGAGTTGCATCTTCAAGTTATCTAAATGTCATTGATCCTCATTTTTTTGGAGCTGAGTCTTCAAGTTACATAAATGTCCTTGGTCGTCATTTTCTTTATCAATGAAATAGGAACAATAAAATAATGGCTACCTACTTTTCAGAGTTACTAGGTACAGCCAATGAACAGTGTAATGACTCTCAAATTAAGGTGTGCATAGAATTTCTGTGGTGCTTGATAAAACCCTAACTACCCTAAATGTAAAATTCTGATTCGAGAGGTTTTATTTCAGGGAAACTGGGGGTTAGGAAACTGTAAGAAGTATGATAATGAAAAGTATTTATTCATGTTCATTTTTTTTTTCTTAGATAGGGTCTTGCTGTGTCACCAAGGCTGGAGTGCGATGGCATGATTTTGCCTCACTGCAGCCTTTATCACCTGGGCTCAAGTGATCCTCCCACCTCAGCCTCCCAGGTAACTGCAACTATAGCCACCAAACCCAGCTAATTTTTAAATTTTTTGTAGAGATGGGAGTCTCACTGTGTTGCTCAGGCTAGTCTTGAACTCCTGGGCTCAAGCAAAGTATTAGGATTTTGCTTAAAATCCTAATACTGCTCTGGCCTCCCAAAGTATTAGGATTACAGGCGTGAGCCACCATGCCCAGCCATGTTCATTCTTTCCCTTTCCCTCTCCTCCTCCAAACAGTCAGTGAATTCTTACTTGAATCCTGGAGACTTTCCTATCTCACCATGAGTCCTACTTACAGGAAGAATAACCCACAACTCTTGGAGGTAAGAAAGAAGAGGAGCCCTATTGATTGGGAGCTACATCAAGAGACCTCAATCTTCCTCCAGAATGAACACCGTCTTGGCCAGCATTGGGAGCTATGCTGAAATAAAGGCAGGGCCTAGCCAGGCTTCTTATCATCTGGTAAAGTCCACTAACTGCCCACAACAGCAATTTACTCATTAACAAGACCCCCACCGTACCCCAGAATACCACTACTCCCCACTTGCACACAAGCATTTCAATGACCCACAGAGGCCCCAAGGAACAGAGGACACCTAGGAGATGGGTGGTGGCATGGAAGAAAAAGTGAACCTCACAGAAAGAGCTGAGATCTCTTAGCAGGTCAGCACAGAGGGAGAAAGTACTTCAGTTATTTGTATTTTATTGAGCTCTCTGGACAAGTCTGAAATAAGAATCGTTGACATACTGAGTTTGAACACATTAATAACACTATTGAGCAGCACTTACCATGTGCCATGAACCCTTCTAAGGGCTTTACCTATACCAATTTATTTAATCCTCACAATAATCCTCTACAACCTTATGAGGCCAGTACCTTTATCAACTCCATTTTAAAAATAGGAAAAACAAGACACAGGAAGGCTAAGTTTCTCACTCAAGATCACACAGCTGATAAATCACACAGCCAGCAATTTGGACCCCCCAAAAAAATTAGCTCCAGAATCTATGCTCTTAACCACAATGTTATGCTGCCTCCTTTTTACCATCTGTTAAAAAAAAAAAAAAAGGAAACTACACAGCTTAGATGTTGCTATTACTCAAAAGGTCTTCATGCCTTCTTTGTTTTCAGCCTTATCTTTTACTATCTTCCCTAAACCACTCCCACCTAATCCTTCAAGGGAGCCAGTTCCAGCCACCAGACTTTCATTTGTGGCATTCCATCTGTAACTTCTCCTTCAGTTTCATTGCTGTCTAGCCAAAGCTTACTCCTCCTTTAAGGTTTAACTCTTTTTTTTTTTTGAGACTGGAGTTTCGCTCTTGTTACCCAGGCTGGAGTGCAATGGCGCGAGACGCAACCTCCGCCTCCCGGGTTCAGGCAATTCTCCTGCCTCAGCCCCCCGAGTAGCTGGGACTACAGGCGCATGCCACCATGCCCAGCTAATTTTCTGTATTTTTAGTAGAGATGGGGTTTCACCATGTTAACCAGCATGGTCTCGATCTCTTGACCTTGTGATCCACCCACCTCGGCCTCCCAAAGTGCTGGGATTACAGGCGTGAGCCACCAGGCCCGACCAAGGCTTATAAACCTTATAAACCTCCTGACACTCTGAGCCTTTGCAGCATTGATGACATCCACGTACAACTGTTCTTCATATTTTCCCTGGCTACAATGCCATTCCTTAGAAGAGATCTGACTCATCTTTTCTGCCTCCCACATGCCCTCTAAAGTAACAGCAAGAGGTCCCTGAGTTGAATGGGTGCTCTTTAAGGTCTATATGAGGCCCTGACCCTGGGAACACACCCCACCCACATACCCAAGACACTGAACCACTTAAATGTTTTCTAATTTCATGCTTCTGGGAACATTTTCATACTGGGCTTCCCACTCATGTATTCATTTGACAAACATTTCTTGAGTGCCTACTATATGCTATAAAGAGAATCTCTTTATTTTGCAAGATGGGTGCAAGATGGGAGCTATAGAGACTGCAGGTGAGCAAACTGTACCTATCAGGGCTGCCATGGATGTGGATGCCACTCCCTCCATCCCACTGAAAACGGTTTAGTCCAAAGGGCACCTTTCCTACATGATACTTCTAGTGTTTTGTGTTCTCACCTACTGTGTGCTGGGTGCTGTGCAAAGAGCTTCAGCTCCTTCAAACCTAATTTAAACCCTATCAACCATCTTTGTAAATACTATAATTGTCTCTGTTTCCCAGTGTGGTTGAGAACCTTACCCCAGAGCACCTCTATGTATGTTTTTACCTGGGTATTTGTGAAGCTTATCAGCTGCATAATACTTCACTCATTTTTAGTAGAAGAATTTTGAACTCTTCCTGAATTCTTTTAGAATAATTCAACACAGTATAGCATGAGGAGTAGAGAGTAAACTGAGGCAGTGGCACAAATATCAGGTCAACCTTTAACAGGGTGTCAGTTAAGGTCATGAATATCTTCCCCAGGGAAGGGCCACCTTTAGGCCACTGCTGGATCAGAGGGAGCAAGCTGAGTTTTGTAGCTACTTACAATGTGCTGCTAGGAAGGGTGTTTGTAGCTTCTCCCTTACTGATACTTCTCTGTGATGGAGAGGGTATCCTTCAAGTTAACAAATGATTAATCTCCACTTTAACTATGAATATTATCCTACTTAATAAATGCTCTCTTTATTCATGAAGAAAACCGTCACATTTTAACCTTTGACAGCAAGTGAATACCTATTCTTCCATTTGCATAGTTAGTACTAAATAGCAAAGGGAAAGGAGGGATTTGGGAATTAGCTGAAGTCCCTTTGGGATCTCCTGAAGCCAAAGATAAGAGGGTGGGGGCAAGGCATGTGCACAGATCCCGAAGCACAAAGCCATCTGTGCACGGAAGCTGCTAGCTTCGCCTGAAGGGGACAACATAAACCAAACCTGCAGATAATAATTCTAAGATTGATATATTCTGTACTCGTTTCTCTAAACTTTGCTTCAAAAAGCTGGTTAACATCTACTAGAGGGCTAATATTTAAACACCTGCAGTACATAGGATACAAATTATGGATTTTCTCAACAAACAAATGAGAAGAAAATTCTTGACCAATTTCTGTAAAGGGTTTCTAAATAGAAAATACCGTCTCTTTTTATTGTAAATTTGTCTGTTTACCTTGTTGGTTTTCTTGTGAATGGCTCTTCTTGGAGAAGATGCACTAACAGCTCTGCTACATTTGCTTTAAAAGAGAGAGAAAATTGGTTACTATTCAAATACCTCTCCAGGAGGCGTATGACAAAGTCCCAGGCCGTCACTAACACAGCAGTATGAATTTCTTTGCAATATAGTGATGATTTGAAAAGGAAAAGTCATGGCAATTGAGAGTTCCTTTTGTGAAAAGGAACGTTAGTAAGCATAACTGAATAAATTAAATACTGCATTTCTCTTTTTCTCAAAACTAAACCCCAGAAAATGTGCGTTTACCTTCTTAAGCAATAAAAAAATAACAAAAAAAATGTCCCCCTGAGGACCAAACATGGTTTTCTAAATTTAGAAATGACCACTTCTTCTCATTAAAGGAGAAGCTGCTCTTGTGCTAAAATGTAGCACTTCCTACAACAATTGCTATTAAACAGATGTCTCATGTTTTTTTTTTTCCTACTTTTAAAACAGCAACAGAAAAAAAAAATAAGAAAGTTATCACTTAAGACAATTGTGTTTCAAAATATTCTAAAAAAATGCATACTTTTTTATCAGAAAATAATAGTTGCTGTTTGATCAAAAAGATCATTTAGATTGATCTTATTCTGGGAAGAGCTCACTCTCCTTTCCCAAATTTCTGTGGCAATCCTGGCTGCATGTACCTGATTGAGCTTGCTTCACTGGCTGAAGACTTCCAACTACTGAGCCGCTTGAGCCGGGCCAGCTTTTTGTTCCATATTTCTAACTCTTCTATTCTTTCCTCAAGGTTATTAGTTAGTTTACACAGCTGCTTCACTGCACCTACGTTTTCCATAAAGATCTGGTCCTAAAACAGAAAAATCAAACAGAGTGCACAGATTAACAATGTGAGATCACTATGGAGCTGTTCACAGCCCATTCAAAGACAGTTGGAATATATCATTGAAAATGGTTATAAACACACATATCTTCAAGTTTATTCAAGATAAATCTGGAGAGGTTTGAAACTTAATGCGGTCTTCCTAACCTGTTGGCTGTGTAGTAAAACTGCTTCTGTTCAATTTGCAATAAAGTGAAAATATGACCTGGTAACTCAAAAATGGAGCTGAAGGACACTGGTAAGTCTGGAATCGGGAGATTTATTTTCAATGGCCATTATTCCATATTTACAACTCTGAGGCAGAAGAATCGCTTGAACCCAGGAGGCAGAGGTTGCAGTGAGCCAAGATCGTGCCATTGAATTCCAGCCTGGCCAATAAGAGTGAAACTCCATCTCGAAAAATAAATGAAAAGAGAAGAGAGGGGAGGAGAGGAGAGGAGGCGGGGAGGGGAGAGGAGGGGAGGGGGAAGGGGAGGGGGGAGGGGAGGAGTCAGAACAGGCTTCTGAATGTTAATTTGCGTGTTCATCACCAAAGTCCTTTGAAAATGACTCCAGGTCTCCCTAGTAAAATGTGCATCAAATTGCTCACGTGAAGGAAGAAAGAACAAAGACCTGGGCTTTTCTCTGAGTTCTGCCACCTACTGGATGTGAGACTCCAGACAAAATGCAATCACTTTTTGGGCTTCCTTTTCTTTATCTATGAATGAGAAAATAATTCTTGATGCGTCAATATCTGTTTCAACATCCAGTGAACTATTGTGTACTGCTTATATTGTAACCTAACTTTGAAGCAATTTTTTTTTTAAAAAAAAGCACATAGTTCTTTCTGTTCACAGAAAGTCACTGACACATCAGAAAAAGAAAGGGGAGACCAAAAAAAGCCGTACAGTCCAGGCCATCACCTTCCCCACCCACAAACTTCTTGTCATATGAACACATGTGCCCATCTCTCAGCCATAACTAAAAGCCTGGAAAGCTCTTATCTACTCACATCCCAACCCCATGACCTCTCCTCCTACCTCTCTCTCTCTCTCTGTTTACAAGTTCAAAATCCCACAGCACTTTCTGAATTGCAGAAAGTCTGGTCCACTATTGTAAAGTGGTAAGTTCAAGGTGATAAGACTGTTTTGCGGTTGAGGGTCAAACTCAGGGCTACATGCCTTTGAGATCGTTATCAGGCAAACTGAAGCTTTGAGGGTTTCAAACACTGTAGAGCCATCACTCAGAAAGAATCAAAAGCTGAACATTCCAGATTCAAGGCTTAATGTATGTTCAAAGACAGACGTAGCTCATGATACACTGAGAACTCTCTTAAACTCCCAGAGCAGCCACACAGATTTGATGAGGCCCCCTGAACACTCTGTACTCTGCAATGTTTGGAGAGTTATGACCTCATTCCCCTAGTTACTTATGATAAAATGTCTTTCCTCAAGGCCTGTCCAAATCCCATCATACCCAGTATCTCCCCAGGACTACTGGTCAGAGAGCACCCCGCACTCTCCAATGTCCTCAAAGTATGTTCAATACTATCACTTGGCCATTTGCCTTGTATCAGGTGTTACCTGTCTGTCTGACATCTGGATCATGAGTTTGCGGAGGGCAGAATTATGTTGATTCATTTGCATATGTCATCAGCATTTAGCACATGCCTTTGCCCACAAGAAATGCTCAGCAAGAACGGACATAAGTGAATTGAAAAGTGCTATGAGGTAGCAGCTTAGGAAAGCAGAAAGCTTTCGTATTTGGTATGCAAAGCAACTAAAAGTTTGATTTCTGAGGCCTGTGTTTGCTTTAAGAAAACCAAAAACACACACACACACACAAACCAACAACAACAAAAAATCATGCTTGTATCAGCTTCTCGAATGTCATCAGAAAACCCTACGTTCTTACTGAAGTTTTACCATACATCCTTCAAAATCCATCCAAATAATGCAAATTGATAAAACCACTATGGAGTAGAATTTAGCAATATCTAGCAAAATTACATATATTTTTATTTTTAAGCCCGTAAACCCACTTATAGGAGTTTATTCCATAGATCTCCTAGAGAAACGGAAGAAATAAAAGAGACCAAAATCAAACCAAATGTCCATTGATAGGAGAATTGATAATAAACTGTGATACATTTGCATAGCAGTATACTATACAACTAAAAAATGAAGAATGTCTCTATATACTGTTATGGAGCAAAATCTGTAGTATAAGAAGAAAAAAGAGTAAATTCTGTAGTATAAGAAGAAGATAAAACATATTTATATTTTCTTACATTACTAAAATGAGGAATAAACCAAAAATTAACTAAAAATTGTTACACATAATGAAAAGGAAGAAACAAGATGGGGGAAATGGATAGAACCAGATTCTCTTTAATAGAGCTGGTTTTATAAATTCACCTTTAGAATATGTGGGTATTTTAAATACGTATAAAAAATAAACCAAAATTTTAAAAACATCCTAGAAATGGAAGGCAAAATAAAACAAATTAGGTATTGAGTTTCTGATTTAACCCTACAGAGAAGATTGATATTAACTGACTTAAAAGCACAGTAATTTGACTGCCCATTCCCAGAAAGACAAAAAATAAAACAACAAAAAAATCAACCAGAAAAGAAATCTTAAGCTTTTCAATAATCATATTGCTAGTAATAATAGTGATGGATTACATATGCATAGATAGCACACATATATGTTTGGATAAAACAAATGTATAGTTAATAATGCTATAAACCAAGATTTTTAGCATTTAAGAAAAGAGATGTAAACATAAAATTAAAACATTTAGAAAAAGCCTAGCAAATCTAAATTTAAATTGGCAATATTGCTATGAATTCCTGATATGTTTTATTTTTTAAAAGAAAAAGACATTTTCTAGCTACGTCAACTAAAAAGTACTGGAAAAAACTTCCAACCTCCTAACGATGAACACTGTTCACTGTAGCCTCCAAATACCATTCCCAATGAAAGGACCCAGAACTTTTCCAGATTTGGGGTAGGATATCTCTGAAGTAAACCTGGAATATCTTACAATATAAGAAAATAAGGAACCTATCACAGCATACTGCGGTTGGGTCAAAATGACTCAGGAGCTAACTAAAGAAGTGCTCATTGGCCAAAGACAGAACATCAAAGGACTAATTACCATGACAGATCAAAGAATCACATTTGCTTTAAAAGCATCCAAAATGCTATTCAATTTTTAAAAATATTTTATTATCCCCTTTGGGAGATATTAAGGGTGTAACTCATTTTTCTGAAATGTTATAAATAAACAAAGAATAAAACTTTATCCTGCCTGTCTTATATAACATCTACATATTTGAAAGTTCATTTAAGAATTTCAGGTAGGCCGGGCGCGGTGGCTCAAGCCTGTAATCCCAGCACTTTGGGAGGCTGAGGCGGGTGGATCACGAGGTCGAGAGATCGAGACCATCCTGGTCAACATGGTGAAACCCCGTCTCTACTAAAAATACAGAAAACTAGCTGGGCATGGTGGCGCGTGCCTGTAATCCCAGCTACTCAGGAGGCTGAGGCAGGAGAATTGCCTGAGCCCAGGAGGCGGAGGTTGCGGTGAGCCGAGATCGCGCCATTGCACTCCAGCCTGGGTAACAAGAGCGAAACTCTGTCTCAAAAAAAAAAAAAAAAAAAAAAAAAAAAAAAGAATTTCAGGTAATAACATCTGCAGAATAAAAAAAGAAGAAATGATAGAGTTTCACTGTTTTCCAACCCCTAATGAAACAACAGATCTAGGCAATGATCCTCAAACTATTACATGTATTTGTTTCTTTGTTTTATGTATACATATGTAAAAACAAGTGGGGAAATTTCAACACCAACTGGATCGGATAATATTAAGAAATTACTGTACATTTTTAGGTGTGAAAAAATATTGAAGAATATATAATAAAAGAATATGATGCTGGAGATTGCTTTAAATAATCTAGTTGGTAGGAGAGGGTAGTTGGTGAATGATTTAAATAAGATTGGACAAGAATTGATATTAATAATTGGGAAATTTGAGTGAGACATACGTGGGGTTTCATTATTCTTCTCTCTAGTGTTTTATACATTTGAAATTTTTCATTAATAGTGTGCTTTTTTAAATCACAAAACAAAAACAAAAATCTCCTGACAAAAGCCCTTCTAAATTTCCTAATCCTGGTACAGGTTTTCTTTTACTTCTATATTTGTTGTAATAAAAATAAGACAGACATTAGGAAGCTGGAAACAGCATTCTGTGATTCTAAATCACGATAAATGTTATATCATTATTTACTATATTTACCCTGTAGAGAGCCTTCTACTATAATTACAGCTGTATTATTTACAGTGGATCACATGGTCAGCTGATGCGCACCAGCAGCCCAAAGCAGATTTCCAGCTGTCCTCTCTGACCCCTCCCTCCACCCTGCTCACTGGTGGCAACCTACCACTCCAGGCTGTCAGTTCTGCATCCTAAAGCTCCTGAACCTGCCCGCTTCTCTCCATCCCCACTGACACTACTGATTTTCTTTTTTCCCCCCTTGGTATCCGACCTCTTCTTTAATAAAAAATATTTGCTTAATATATTATGATTTAGCTCAAGCCAAAGCAGACTATGGAGAATTATAATAAAGCCCCCTCTAAACCACAGTAAGTTCTTTCTGTAGTATTTTCCTCAACAGGACTTTCAATACTGCCTCATAGGTTACAAGCAATGGCTGTAATTTTCCATTTCCTTGTCGATAATGATAAAAGGCCAGCTTTAATTTCTCCAACTCAAATTCGCCAGTACCATATATCTTCCAGGTAGATCCAATAGGCAAGGAGAGATAATTCATATGCTTTCCTATTCAAGAGGAAGTAAACACGGAGAGGAAATTTACTACCACTTTCCCGATTGTAATTGTGGCTGGCTCTGACTTTATGGATCCATCCAATAGAAAATTACTGAAAAGTAAATTTCCAATACATATTATAGGGATTCA